GAGCACATGGATGCTGCTAAGAGGGTGTTGCGCTACTTGTGCAGTACGTCGGGCATGGGGCTTGTGCTTGGAGGGCGAGACCAGGTTGTTCTCACAGGGCACTCAGACGCTTCTTGGGCAGACGACCAGGCTACTCAGCGGTCGTCCCAGGGTTACACCTTCAGCCTTGGCTCTGGCTCTGTTTCTTGGCGTTCTACTCGCTCTTCTTCTGTTCTCAGCTCCAGTTGTGAGGCTGAGATCTACGCCACAGCCATGGCTGCTCAGGAGCTACGCTGGCTGACCTACCTGCTGACCGACCTCGGAGAGCGGCCTCGTTCTCCTCCAGTGCTGTACGTCGACAACAAGGCTGCCATTGCCTTGTGTGAGGAGCACAGACTGGAGCACAGAACGAAGCACATCGCTCTGCGGTACTTCCTTGCTCGAGAGCTGCAGCAGCGTGGTCAGCTTTGTCTGCGTTACGTGGCCACGGAGGCCAACACTGCGGATGTGTTCACCAAGGCGCTTCAGCCTTGTGACCATCAGCGCTTTTGCACTCTGCTAGGCCTTGTACCTACTGGGCCTCACTTGCTTACCTCTTGACCTTACTTGTACTGTGATCACTATATATATATGCCTGCATGTTTACACTTGCTAGGTTGTTATCACTGTATCTCTTGTTATATTATCAACCTGCATGTGAACTGGTCTTGTGACCACTTGCTTGTGCTCGGAATTTGTGTGGTATCCTTGAGATCCACCCTGAGCTTGTTTTGCTTTGCTTTGACTGGTCTTGTGACCCTGTGGTTGTTTCCCACTGCGCCTATGGGGGTGTGTCAAACATTGCATGTTTATATTGTCTAGGCTGTAGTGGGTTACACCTTAGGGGGTACACAAAGTTAGGGTTTCCTACTTGTACCAAACTCTGTTCTAGTTCATTCATTCCTGCTCAGTTATTTCTGACACACAGGATCGACCCAGGAGGGTCGACCTGCTCTGATAGCATGTCAGAATAACTAGGCAAGAATGAATGAAAGGAGAGAGGGATTGAACTAGCAGGCAGTTGAGTACAAATAGCAAACCCTAGATTGGGCTGTACTCGCTATAGAGTACCCCACTGCAGGCTAGACAATAATAGCATTCTGACATGAAGCTGACCAGATGTTTACCGGAAATCGATGCAAGGCTGGTGGATGGGACACCGCTGGCCATCCGAGATGAAGCGCGACAAATTCGGATCAAGTGCGGCGACAATTTCGGGTTTGGCATGAAGATGTTAGCGACGACATTGGACGGGTGTGATGTGCTGCTGGGGAGGGATTGGCTGCAGCGCTTCAATCCGACGATCGACTGGACGACTGGGGCGTGCGTCGTGCGAGGATACGGAGGGAAGACGACGCTTCCGAAATGGACGGAGCCGGAGCCGGTGACGACACGTGTCAACGCAATCAACATGCGGCGTGCGATAAATAGTGGAGCTCAGACCTTCTTGGTGCACCTGTACGAGGTGGCAGCTTCCGAGAAAATCGCGGACATCGACACCCTCTGCGCGGCAGTCCCCGAGGAATTGGCGAGCATCATTCGGAAGTATCCCGAAATTTTCGCGGATGACCTCCCGGATGGCTTGCCCCCCCAACGACCTGAGGATCATCGGATCCAGCTTGAGCCAGGAGCGCAACCTACTGTTCGGACACAGTGGCGGCTCAGCCAACCAGAGCTCGCCGAGTTGCGGGCCCAGCTGGATTATCTGCTAGCCAAGGGCTTCATCCGGCCAAGCACGTCGCCGTATGCAGCGCCGATACTGTTCACGCCGAAGAAGGACGGGGGCCTACGCATGTGCATTGATTATCGGGCGCTGAATCGGGTCACGATAAAGTCGCGTTACCCGATCCCGCGAACCGACGATCTGCTGGATCAACTTCGCGGAGCTCAATATTTCTCGAAAATCGACCTGCGAGGGGGCTACCACCAAATTCGCGTGTTCGCCGACGACTGCCCGAAGACCGCTTTTCGCACACGCTACAGCAGTTACGAGTTTACGGTGATGCCGTTCGGTCTGACAAACGCGCCCTCGACGTTCCAGCTCACCATGAACGGGATTTTTCGGGACATGCTGGACAAGAAAGTCATCGTGTATCTGGACGACATCCTGGTGTACAGCGCGACCAAGGAGGACCATCTGCGGGATTTAGAGGAGGTATTCTGGCGTTTACAGGGGCATCGGCTAATCACGAAGGGGTCTAAGTGCGAGTTAGAATTTTTGGGGCACGTGGTTTCCGACGAAGGGATTAAAATTGACCCGCGTAAGGTAGATGCCATCGCTAAGTGGAAGCCGCCTACTAATATCCCTGAGTTGCAAAGCTTTTTGGGGTTTGTTAACTACGTTCGTCGTTTTGTACCTAATATGGCAGGGATAACCAAGCCGCTGACCGACCTGCTGCATCACGACAACGATTTTCAGTGGGGGGGAGAGGGAGCAGTCCGCTTTCGACGCCCTCAAAAACGTTTTGAAGTCACCCCCGGTACTCCGCCTCGCCGACCCATCTCGACCGTTCGAAGTCGTCACGGACGCCAGCGATTTCGCCGTCGGCGCCGTCCTGCTACAGGACTTCGGCCAAGGGCTGCAACCCATCGCCTACGAGTCACGCAAGATGCAGCCACCCGAGCGCAACTACCCAGTCCACGACAAGGAGATGCTGGCCATCGTCCATGCATTCCGCGTCTGGCGCTGCTACCTCACGGGAGCCGACGTGACCATTCGGACCGACCACAAATCACTACAGTACATGCGCACGCAACCGACACTCAACCCGCGACAAATCCGGTGGTTGGACTTCCTCGAGTCCAATTTTCGGTACACCATCACGTACAAAAAGGGCGCCAACAACATCGCCGACGCCCTCACCCGGCCATCCATGCAGAATGCGGCGGTACTAATCGCCCACACCAACCCGATGCTGACGGGACTATTCACCCACGGCTACAAGATCGACAGGTTTTTTCGGAACCCGCAACAACAGGCTGCTACACCGCACGGCAAGTATTACCTAAAAGCCGGTACGAACCGGATTTGGGTACCAGCATACCAGCCTTTACGGGAGCTGCTGACGCAGGAGGTTCACGACTCCAACCTTTCCGGGCATTTCGGCACCGACAAAACACTGAAGCTGCTGCAGCGGAATTATTACTGGCCGGACATGCTCACCGATGTGCAGCGCTACGTGTCAACCTGCCCGACCTGCCAAGCAATGAAGTCGTCGCGACAAAGGCCAGCCGGACTGCTGCAACCCCTCGAGCCACCCGAACGACCGTGGCAACAGGTGACGATGGATTTCGTCACGGGGCTACCAGCTGGCGCGAGTGGCAACGACTCGGTAATGGTCGTCGTCGATCGCCTAACGAAAATGGCGCATTTCGCCCCATGCCGAACGACGATCACAGCCGAAGACGTGGGCACAGTACGGTACCCGCCTGCAGTTTTCGTCGTCATACCACCCGCAAACCGACGGACAGACGGAACGGACAAATCAGACCATGGAGCAACTGATTCGCACCAACTGCCCAGATATCCGCAAGTGGGAGGATTCGCTGCCGATGCTGGAATTTGCGTACAACAACGCCCCTTCGGCCACGACTCGACAATCGCCTTTCTTCCTAAATTACGGGATAGACCCCGTGGTACCCTCTTCAACGACTGTAGACAACCCGGTACCACGCTCGCAGCAGTTTGTCACGGAGCTGCAGACCGCCCGCACGAAAGCAGCTGATTTTATTCGACGGGCTAATACCACAGCCAGCCGCCAGGCGGACAAGCATCGACGGAATTTACCTTTCCGCGCAGGGCAGGTTGTGCTCTTAGACACCAAGAATCTTCGTCTGCCGCAGCCCGCAAAATTACGGCCCCGATTCGTGAGACCATTTCGGATCATCCAGATGGTGACACCTGTCACCGCGAAGCTGCTGCTACCCGACGACTGGAAAATTCATGACGCGTTCCACGTCAGCCTACTGCGTCATTACGAACAGCCGCAGTCGCCAGCTGTTGCTCGGCCAACCATCGCGCCGACCACCCGTCCAGTAGCAGAACCCACGCTGGAACCTTGGAAGATTCTCAACCATCGCGTGGACGTCACCGCCGCCGGCCGCTCGGTGAAATTCCTGCTTCGCTGGAAAGAACGCACGAGCGAGGACGACACGTACGTCACCGCAGACTCGTTACTGGGACATCCGGTTGTGGATGCTTACCTGGCCCGCCGAGGTGTCTCGGATATTCACCACCTTTCTTAAGGGGGGGGTAGTGTAAGGAATTTTTCGGATTCCTTACTAGGTCATTCCGTACGCGTACAACCCCGACTTTCGGAAAACCAGGCTCGGCCCGCCGACCTCGCCTTCCGAGCCACCACCGCGTCGCCTTCGGGTTTTCCAACCCCGAACCTGCACCCAACCATTTTGCGACCCCGCGACCTCGGCCTAGCTAGCTTTGCTATATTGTGCCTAGGCCTCGTTGTTCATTCAGACGTTGTAATCACTTCCGCGTTATTGAATTCTGCGCACTCTTTCATTCACAACTCATAACAATCTTAGTTACCAAGTTACTATGACGGGCGGGGTTGTCTGTAACGCGAATGTGAAACGGAAGGATCGTAGGACACGTGTCAAAGCAACGACCGTCAGATCTTGTGGTGGTTCACAGCTGCTCATGAATGTTATTTAATGAATTTGTTTTGAATATTGTCGACACATAGTTGTAGCGAGCTGGTCCATAACGGAGGATTCCGCATCATTTTTAGCTTACAGAAATTAGACACGTGGACACAATCGTTTTTTCGCATCCACACAAAGACGAGTTACAAATTTCAAGAAACACCCGCACGGTGTTCGTCAGCGAATCTAAAACGTGCATGCATTTTGGGAGAGCCGAGGTTGTGATGCAGATTGAGATTCAATCTTAGGGCGTGTTGCAATTCGCGGTGCACTGCATCGGCTCGGCTCGTAGCAGGGGGCTAAGAAGGCTCCAGGAAATCATGGGACCGTAAATTTTTACAGAAAACGTGTAAAGTCTTTCCAATCATTCTTGTAAAGACTTTTTAACCCTGGCAAATAACTCTTATAATCATTCTTGGATATTTCTTCCTTGCCGAAACATTGCCCGAATTTGGCTCCCGCTTGCTTGGAGCCTTCCTTCAATCCCGTGCCGAAGCAGTGCATCTCAAAATGCAACACCCCGTTACGTTCACGATACCCTGAAACATACGTTTGCCGAACCTGCGAACACATGCCGAGCTTCAAACCCTCTGGAAACGTATGTTTCCCAGTGTCGTGAACGTAGCTCCTGAAAAACAAAACCCCCCGCAACTCTGGCGATACCCCAACGTAGTTTTCTGAGGCACCAATGTTTGAGATGTAGGCGGAATCTGTAATTCTCATTTACATTTTCCAAGTGCCCCTTTTTTGTCGTTTTCACGCTCTAGAGTCGGTGCACGGTCTCTTCGTCGAAGCGGTATGGCCGCCTCGTTGACGTGGCTTCCCGCGCCACACTGCGCGTCTTTCCGCCGATCTGTGCAACCCGCCACTGGCGCCTCCGCGTCCGAACTCCGATCGCCCCACGCGCCGCACGAACCACACTTGTCGTTGCACTTCCAGTCTGCTCCTCGTGCGCGGAAAATATTCAGCCTCAGGCCCAGACGCCCCTTGCCAGCGTCGCGGTTTACCGTACGCGCCATAGGCGGCGCGGGCGGGCCGGAGACGTTTCTGTCGCTGGAAGAGGCCGGGCTGGTGGAGCTGGCGGGGCTCGACGCGCACGAGCGATTCCTCGCGCGCCTCACGGTGAGATGCGCGGCGCGGTGAGATGCGCGGCGCGGTGAGATGTGCGCTCGGTGAGATGCGCGGCGCGGTGAGATGTGCGCTCGGTGAGATGCGCGGTGCGGTGAGATGTGCGCTCGGTGAGATGCGCGGCGCGGTGAGATGTGCGCTCGGTGAGATGCGCGGCGCGGTGAGATGGATGATAATGGGACATGTGGTGGGATAGCATTGGGGCATATGGTGGGGTGATGATGGGGCATATGGTGGGGTGATGATGGGGCATATGGTGGGGTGATGGTGGGGCATATGGTGGGGTGATGATGGGGCATGTAGTGGGGTGATGATGGGGCATGTGGTGGGGTGATGATGGGGCATGTGGTGGGGTGATGATGGGGCATGTGGTGGGGTGATGATGGGGCATGTGGTGGGGTGATGATGGGGCATGTGGTGGGGTGATGATGGGGCATTTAGTGGGGGTGATGATGGGGCATGTGGTGGGGTGATGATGGGGCATGTGGTGGGGTGATGATGGGGCATGTGGTGGGGTGATGATGGGGCATGTGGTGGGGTGATGATGGGGCATGTGGTGGGGTGATTGTGGGGCATGTGGTGGGGTGATGATGGGGCATGTGGTGGGGTGATGATGGGGCATGTGGTGGGGTGATGATGGGGCATGTGGTGGGGTGATGATGGGGCATGTGGTGGGGTGATGATGGGGCATGTGGTGGGGTGATGATGCGGCATGTGGTGGGGTGATGGTGGGGCATGTGGTGGGGTGATGATGGGGCATGTGGTGGGGTGATGATGGGGCATGTGGTGGGGGTGATGATGGGGCATGTGGTGGGGTGATGATGGGGCATGTGGTGGGGTGATGATGGGGCATGTGGTGGGGTGATGATGGGGCATGTGGTGGGGTGATGATGGGGCATGTGGTGGGGTGATGATAGGGCATGTGGTGGGGTGATGATGGGGCATGTGGTGGGGTGATGATGGGGCATGTGGTGGGGTGATGATGGGGCATGTGGTGGGGTGATTGTGGGGCATGTGGTGGGGTGATGGTGGGGCATGTGGTGGGGTGATTGTGGGGCATGTGGTGGGGTGATGGTGGGGCATGTGGTGGGGTGATGATGGGGCATGTGGTGGGGTGATGATGGGGCATGTGGTGGGGTGATGATGGGGCATGTGGTGGGGTGATGATGGGGCATGGTGGGCTGTCCAAAAGGGTGAAACTGAGGTATGTGCCAGTTGCGTTGTTGAGAAGGATACTAGGGGGAGAGGAGGAGGGGATGGTGTGGGAAGGAGCAAGGAGGAAGGAGAGAGGGATAATGAGAGAACAAGAGGGATGGCAATGGAGGCGGGTGACTGTGGTTTACCATTTTTCGTTACAAGCTGCACACCATGTGTCACATGTTGACGCCGATGTCAATCATTCATCTAGGATCCGCTGAGTCTCCTGTGGCCACTTCCATCAAGCTGCATTGCTTTGTCTCTGCGTGCAGATCTCGTCGCTGAATTTACTGCGAGTGATATCAGAGCAGGAGGGCGTGCCGATAGAGGAGCTGAACGCGGGGCGGGTGTGTGACTGGTTCATCAAGGACAAGGCGAAGCGCGAGCAGGACGTCAACTCCGCTGTTCTCAAGTGGCCCAAAGCCCCTGAGTGGTAGAAATGTTCCAATACAAGGCTCCAATACGAAGTCCTTAGCAGGGCTGAAAATTAGACATTTTCCAAAGCGTTGACTTCAAATCACAAGTTTCGTCCCTCATCTTGTGCTAGATGTGCAGATCATGGTCAGTGCCTTAGATTCTTTTTGGCCTAAGCTGAAAAAGCAAAGTTGGTACAAAACGTTTTGCTGAAAATCAGAGAAATCAGCCAGGGCCTCAGATTCACTTTTAGGGTTTTCGACCCATCAGGGTACCCCTTTGTAGAAACCCTGATTGACAGTGTTCCTTAAAAAAAAATACCTGAAATATCAGTGTTGCCTCGGAAAAAAGGCTGATGCATCAGTGTTCAATAATAAAAAAAGGTTCGAGATCTCTATGTTAAATCAAAGTTGGTACAAAACCTTTTGCTGAAAATCAGAGAAATCAGCCATTTAATGTAATTTTACACTACAAATTTAGTAAATTTTCATATTTCTTTTCAACAAATTGCTGGAAAATCAGGCGCAGCTCTTAAAAAGGTCTGAAATCTCAGCGTTTTTTTACCCAAATCAGCCTTTTTTTCGCTGACTTATGAGGCCCTGCTGTAGACTTCCGGACATTTGTGCTTGTCTCTGGTTTCAGGTGCAAGACCATGATTCATGGTGCATAGATCATCTTGAAATACCGTATGGCCCCGAATATACCGTATTCTCCCAGACATAACACACTAGGGTAGATTAAAAAATACATGGAAAAAAAGGGGGGTGTCTTCTCATATAAAAAAGCTACATTGGTAATATCCGGGTTTTATTATATAGTGTCAGAATGTTATTATTGTCTAGCCTGTAGTGGGGTACTCTATAGCGAGTACAACCCCTTAGGGTTTCCTATATGTATTATCCTGCTTGCTAGTGAACCTCCTCCTTTGCTCATTTCTCTCTTGCCTGGCTAGGTAAACCCTTACTATGGCTCCTCTTCGTCCCTACTATTCTAACACGGTATCTGAGCGGTTACGCTCCTGGCCTGTGGGCCCGCCTGCTTCCGCTGCCTTCCTGTGTGTCGCGCGTCCCGTGGCGCGCGATGTTCGTTTTTTCTTCCCGCCGCGCGCTCGGGGCGCGCGGCGGTTTTCTGCCCGCCGTGTGCCCCGAGGCGCGCGGCGGTTTCCTCCCTCGTGCGTCACCCCGGGGACCCGCGCGCTGCCCTGCTCGTCGCCCAACGCGGCCCCCGCTGCTCGTCGCGTCGCCCTGGGAGCCGCGCGCGGCCCCCCCCCCCGCCGCCCGTCGCGACGCCCTGGGGAGCCGCGCGCGACCCCCCCGTCGCGACGCCCTGGGGAGCCGCGCGCGGCCCCCCGCTGCCCCGTCGCGGCGCCCTGGGGAGCCGCGCGCGGCCCCTCGCCCCGTCGCGCCGCCCTGGGGAGCCGCGCGCGGCCCCTCGCCCCGTCGCGCCGCCCTGGGGAGCCGCGCGCGACCCCCCGCTGCCCCGTGGTGGCGCCCTGGGGGCCGCACGCCATCCCCCGCGCCGTCCCCCGCGCTCCTGCCCCGTGCCACCCGTTTTAGGGTTTGGGGGTGGCGCGTGTGGGGGTGGCGGTTCTGGGGTGGCCGTTGTGTGCGAAGTCCTCGTCCTCCTCCTCCTCCTCCTCCTCCGTCTCCCACTGCTGCAGCTGTCGCTGAGGGGGGTGGGTGTGTGGGAGCCGAGGGTTTAGGGTTTAAGGGGGGTGCCGTGGGAGTGGAGCTAGGGGTATAGCAAGGGTTGTGTGAAAGGGGGGTGGGACAGTTGGGGGAGGTTGAGCGGAGGCTGCCGTCTTGTCGTCCGCAGCACCTGTAGTCCGGGGCGCTGTCCTGGTAGCCCAGAGAGCCTGCTGCGCCTGTCGCCCGTGGGTCCGTTGCTCCTGCCGCTCGTCTTAGCCGCGGAGCCTGTTACTCCAGTAGTCCGGGGCGCTGTCCCGGTAGCCACTGTGCCAGCCGCTCCTGTTGCCCGTGTGTCTGCAGCTTCAGCCGTCGCCTCCCATCTCCTCTCCTCTCACAGTCCAGCCTCCTCCTCCTCACGTGCCCGTTGCGAATGCCTCTAGCTTTGCTTGTCCTTGTGAACCTGCTCTATGACTGCTTGCTCTGCTGATTATACCCCACTTTGACTATGGGGGTGTGTCAGAATGTTATTATTGTCTAGCCTACAGTGGGGTACTCTATAGCGAGTACAACCCCTTAGGGTTTCCTATATGTATCATCCTGCTTGCTAGTGAACCTCCTCCTTTGCTCATTTCTCTCTTGCCTAGCTAGGTAAACCCTAGCTATGGCTCCTCTTCGTCCCTACTATTCTAACATATAGAACTTTTTTTTTTAAGCAGTTATGAAAGGAAACAAAAATATTATTATGTCCTCACTCTTACTTGATTGAAAGGAGGCGCAAAACCGAGTCCTCGATGATAACGTCACCCCCCACTGGAATCTGCCACATGACAAATGTCAGAATATAATGCTTGTCTAGTCTGTAGTGGGGTACTCAATAGTGAGTAAACCCTTTTAGGGCTTGCTATTTGTACCTCCCTTCTTTCTAGTCAAACCCTTCCTTTTGCCTAATTCTCTCTTGCCTAGCTAGGTAAACCCTAGCTATGGCTCCTTCATTCTAGCTTCTATCTCAACATGGTATCAGAGCTGTTACGCTCTTGGCCTGTGGGCCCCACGTGCTTCCGCTGCTTTCCTGTCTGTCGCGCGCCCCGTGGCGCGCGACGCCTTGTTTTTCTTCCCGCCGCGCGCTCGGGGCGCGCGGCGGTTTTCTGCCCCGTCGGCCTGCGCGTCGGCCCCCCCCCCCCCCCCCCATTCCCCGTCGCGGCGCCCTGGGGAGCCGCGCGCGGCCCCCCGCTGCCCCGTCGCGGCGCCCTGGGGAGCCGCGCGCGGCCCCCGTTTCCCCGTCGCGGCGCCCTGGGGAGCCGCGCGCGGCCCCCCGCTGCCCCGTCGCGACGCCCTAGGGAGCCGCGCGCGGCCCCCGTTTCCCCGTCGCGGCGCCATGGGGAGCTGCGCGCGGCCCCCGCTGCCTCGTCGCGACGCCCAGGGGAGCCGCGCGCCGCCCCCGGGGACACGCGCGCCCGTCCCCCTGGACCCGCGCGCCCCTCCCCTGGACCCGCGCGCCGCCCCCGGGGACCTCCGCGCTCGCCCCCGTCGACCCACGCGCCGTCCCGGTTCGCCACGAGCGCCGCCCCCGCTGCTGCCCGCGCTCTTGCCTGTGTTAGGGTTTGGCGTTGGCGAGTGTGGGGGTGGCGAGTATGGCGGTGACAAGAGTGTGCGCCGTCCCCTGCTCCTCCTCCTCCTTCGTCTCCCACTGCTGCAGCTGCCGCTGAGGGGGGTGGATGTGTGGGAGCCGAAGGAGTGGTGGTAAGGGGGTGACGTGGGAGTGGAGCTAGGGGTGCAGCAAGGGGTGTGCGAAAGGGGGTGGGACAGTTGGGGGAGGTTGAGTGGAGGTAGCAGTCTTGTCGTCCGCAGCGCCTGTAGTCCGGGGCCCTTGCCGCTTGTAGCCCAGATAGCCTGCTGCGCCTACCTGTCGCCTGTGGGTCCGTTGCTCCTGTCTGAGCCTGTTACTCCTGTAGTCCGGGGCCCTTGCTCCGGTAGCAACTGAGCCAGCCGCTCCTGTGGCCCGTGTGTCTGCAGCTTCAGCAGTCGCCTCCCATCTCTTCTCCTCTCACAGTCACTCCTCTGTCAAACATTATATAGATATATATGTGTAGGCTACAGTGGGTTTAGCCTTAGGGGGTACACAACATTAGGGTTTGATATTTGTACTCTCGTTTCTGTTAGTTCAACATTCCTCTCTCCTTTCACATGGTATCAGAGCAGGTTCCCTAGTGGGACCATCTCTTCCTAGGGCCCACCTCAAGAACCTTTTATTTCTAGCTGCCCGAAGCGCCTTTCCGCCCTGCCCGGAAAATTTACGGCCCCTAAGCCGCCCCTTCGCGGCCCCTTAAGTGGCCCCTCGCGGCCCTCCCTCTCACGGCTCCTTCGCGGCCCCCCGTCGCGACCCTGTCGCGGCCCCCTCGCGGCCGTCGCGGCCCCTTCGCGGCCCGTCGCGGCCCCTTCGCGGCCCGTCGCGGCCCCTTCACGGCCCGTCGCGGCCCCTTCCCGGTCCGTCGTAGCCCCTTCGCGGCCCGTCGCGGCCCCCCCTTCGCGGCCTGTCGCGGCCCCATCGCGGCCCCTTGCGGCCCCTTCCAGCCCGTCGCGCCCCCCCGTCGTGGCCCTTTGCGGCCCTCGCGCGGCCCCACGCCGCCCTTTCACGGCCCTTCACGGCCCCTTTTGCGGCCCCTTTCACAGCCCCTACAGCGGTCGCCCCTGACCTCTGAAGCAGCCGCCTCTGCAGCAGCCGCCCCTGGCCCCTGGAACAGCCGCCCCTGCAGCGGCTGCCCCTGCAGCAGCTGCCCCTCGCCCCTGCAGCAGCCGCCTCTGCAGCTGCCCAGGAGCCCTCGCCCTGCAGTGGTAGCGGCCTCGCCGTTACTGCCATCGTTCACCTGCCCTTCTCGCCACTGGTGAGCACTGCCCTCTTGCTGCTACTACTAGCCTGCTGCTGCTACTGCTAGCCTGCTGCTGCTGCTGCTGTCATGGCTACTCCCGCTGTTCTTACCTTCGATGCTGAGGGTCGTGCGATCGACTTTGAGGTATGGCTGGATGATCTGCAGCTTTTCCTGCAGTGTGATAGCAAAGACGACCTCTCACTGTTCGATCTCACGTCTGGTGCCTCTACTGCCCCTGCTGCTGATGCTGACAGCACTACTCGCTCCCTGACTCCCTTCGCTCGGTCAGGGATCACTTCCTTGCTGTCTGCCCTACCACTCTCACCGTTGACCTCCTCGAGAAGGAGCTCCTTGCAGCTGAGCAGAGCATAGTCGCTGTAGGAGCCTCTCGAGGTGACCCTTGTACCCTTGTCTTTGAGGGGTGCTCCCCCGTTCCCCTTTTGCCCTCTGTTGCCTCTGCTGCTGCTGTCGACCTCCTTGGCACTGAGTCGGTCGGCGCTGCGTCTGCCCCTAGCGGGAGGCGCCGCA